GCTAGGTTCGTTGTTGGAGTCATGCGTTTCTCAAAGCAGTACGTTTTTGTGCATGAAGAGAGATAGCCGCATAAAATTACGTACACAAACGTCTGTCTACTCTATGACGGGTTTCGAATCTAGCTAGCATTTATGTGATAAGGAGAGGGAAACAAAAGATCAGATGAGGTTTTTAATGAAGAAACTGAAGGATGACGGGAGACAAACGTAAGGCTTCAGTTAGTGTTATTCGTATTTGTCATCCCGGCTGGGACGAGTGGCTGCATATTCACTTTTATGGTTATATATATATATATATAGTTTAAACCGTAGGTGACTCCAGCTAACTGGCGTTCATTCTGAGAACACGTTTGGTTTGCAAACCACAGGAATTAGTAAATGCCTTACAGCACTGCGCCCCTCTCATTCCACATTATCAAAAATGTCCCCTTCTATTGTACTTTTGTTTTCAGGTCCCAACTTGTGTGCTTCTTTCGACTGCCTGAGTTTAATGACGGAATTGGATAAGTCTTTTGACGGGAAGCATTCCAAAGGCGAGAATGTAACTTGCGGCTGTCTTCCTTGTGGAAATTTCCGAAAGGTCAAAAGTTGATGTAATCTACATTATCATGAATTTTCGGTATTTCGTCAAATACAGCTCACACTTTTTAAATACGTTTCGGCTTTCCCGCAATGGAAGTTGCTAATGTAATGTGTCCTGTGAAACTGGCAACGCTCCCGCAATCTAAGCTGGAGAGAGACAGTCATTGTAGACCACTGACAGCATACAACCGCGAGATTACCGGTGTGTTCAAGGAATACTGTTAACCTCAATATCTGACATTGAACTTGATATGTTCCAGCAGTTTACTACACAGTTAGTGGATGCTCTACCTGGAGATCCTTCAGCAGCCATGCTAAAAAGTCTTCGTAGACACATAAATAGGTGGGGCTAGTATGCGCACCAAGGCTACTAGTTTACTGCACAGAAATCATTCGTCAGATAAATCCATACATGTATGAAACGTCTCTATTGGTAGTGGTATTCATGTCAGTAGTGGTTTTCGTCTCGTGCAACATCTTGACCATACATCGCTGATCACTAAAAGTGTCCTATGGTGTTAGCTCCCTATTAATCAACCCCACAAAACAGTGGACTACTTGTGCAGTTTTATTACAACCCATAAATCCTCAGCATGTGTTCTGTTAGACTTAAAAGAAATTGCTCTGTATGGGGATTGTTTGTTTTCATCTTGGAGAAGCATTCAAGCAGGCTGACGGTGTAGCGTAGGAAGCATTTTGGAGCTGCGCCAGAAGACGTTACTCCAAGGATGATTAAATGTTTGTAAGGCCATTTCTTCCGCATTTTTAAGTGCTTCAAGGTCGCTTATCACCACTGAACCGTCTTCAACGCTTTCAAAACCGCATAAACCAATGGTCTTCTATTCTTTGTGTTTGTGAGAATAAAAGTCCCACAAACTTAAATGCTTTTAACAATAACCGCTTAGACCGTATTTACAAAACGTTTTGTGTTGGAAGTCAGAGTACACTGGACAAGACCAACACTTTACATTTTGCTACAACAGGTCAAAATAGAGGTTTTGTCGCGCTTTTTTTTCACTCCTGATACTCTTCAAGACTAAGAAGAGTTCTCACCAGGGTTGTTACTCCCTGGGAGCCATTCAGAGGGATTTTTCACCGGCAAGAAACAGTTAACAAATATTAAAAAATTTTAGGAGCCGACACTTAATTCAGGACAATAATTGCAGGCCTCAATACTTAGGCTATCAAAAACCCAACAGGCTAAAAACAACGACTATGCCTAATGCGCCCACCATCTGTTTCGCGTATAGCGTATCAGTTCACCTACAGCTTGGATGACAGGTCAGAACCGACTGGAGCTTAAGTAGACATTCCCCGGACAATGTACTGCTTGAGTCAGGCAACTAAGCAATAGATGGGAGCACTGGAAAATCAAGTTGGAAACCCGTCTCATTGAGTGCAAGTATATCCAGGCCATCGGTTGCACGGATGACTCAAAAACATTGTTCAGACATTTTCTCCGGAATGCGAATATAAAATGGCCAGCGTTTAGTGAGACCAAGCTGATCAGCTAGTGTCAACGGAGTTGGTGTGAGCAGCCTGTTATCGTCCCGCATTATTATCCAATAAACTTACATCAAGGCTTAGTTTTCACCGATGGGTAACCACGAGTAAACTGATAATTAAGCGACTCTAATGAGGTTTTCAAGAGTCACGTTGGTGAACTGATAGTCGGTAACTTCCCTCCTTATCGGAACATGTCAAATAGGTGTAAAGTAGTCTGTTACATTGCCCAATAGCTGTATGACATTTACTGTTTGTGCAGCCAGTTAAATAATTGATTAAGTAAGCGATCAGTTAATCTGATCTAACCAATTACCGATCTTCCAATGTTGCCTGACAAGTTGAAAGTGGCAAGGCCACTCTGAAATACTGCGAGAACAAAAGCATGTTTAATATACCTCCTACAGTGCATACGCAACAAGGGCTTCCTAAGGTCATGTTCCAAATTCCAACGGTAATATTAAGTGTAAACCAGTTTCGATAAATTGATTGACATTATCTTCGTCAACTTCGTCACACTACCGTTCAATACCAACTAATTGCGAGATTATCACCCAATTTATAGAATGAAGGTTGGTCAATGGCCTATGCTGCTTTGTCTGCTTAAGGCCATACCTTACTCTAAACATCACGACTGACGTAATCGAAAAGTGTTCGTATCTGATGAAGTTACGCAGTACTACGCCAGTGAGGATAATAACAGTAGAGAGCAATACAGAAACGGAATTATGAAAATTAGCTTCAGGTTATGCATTCCTTCCTTTCTTGAAGAAAAGAAGATTGACTTGTCACTGACAGAATAATTAGAGTTAAGGTAAATCGCCACAAACAATTGTGCAACAGGAACCATCCTCCCGGAGAAATCACCTGCGAACTATTTTAAATTAGATACGTGTTACGGTTTTGATCACGCAGCGAGTAACGATAATATGCACTGACTGTGACGATATGCTATCCCAAGCTGTGCTGTCTGATCCCGACTTCTAGTGCAGCGTAATGGTAAGAAGACGGAACTTTGAACACGAGTGCAATAATCCGAACAACAAACGATCAACAGGCATTAGCAGAAAAATGACAGCGTATATGTACATTGCTTGACCTTGAAAATGTCGGAACTTCGTTAGCGCACACAAAGATACAGAGTTCTTGGGATTATTGATATCCCCAACACCTCCCCTTGTGAAAAGTCGGTAACATACTCGACGTGGATCGACCTAGATATGTTCCGGCTGGCGGCAGCGTCGGTCAGTCCACCGTCTGGGAGGAAGTGCGGGATCAAATGCTGAGCTGCCGGTCACCCTCTCTTCTTTCGAAACTGCCTCAGTTTTCAGCATAAAAGTATCGAGCAACATGTCCACCGGTACCGTACCCGAACATACTGGAGTTTCCGGCGCGCCGTCAACGCGAACTTGGTTTTAATGTCTAGTCAAGTCGTCTTGACCAACCAACACGTTGTTCATCACATTGCCACGTACGCACGGGATACGATCTGTAATCCATGCATCGTGTCCCGCGCGACAATTACGGACAAGTACGGGTGCTCCCACCGGTATAAAACTTGACTCAGTAGACTGTGTTGGCAACATAGAAGAATACACGCTTCTCAGCTTACGGCCCACGAGTAAATCTACAGGCGATTGGTGGTTCGCCAAAGCATCATCTGGGGTCAATCGGCACACAAACGGGAATCTCTGAAGGGCTTCGACGGATGTCTGCTCCTCTCCAGCTTCAACTAAGGCTCTCTTGAGTGTGTCGACGAGCCTTTCTGCTTGACCATTCGAGTGAGGGTGGTGCGATGGTGAACAAACATGTGCTATGGCGAAACTCGTGGAACTCAGCAGCGGTGAAATACGAATCATTGTCTGAGACGATGGACTCCGGTAAGCCGTGCTGGCCGAAAATGTAGGATAACACACGCAGGGGACTAGATTTCGCTGGGGAGGACACTAGAATAGTTTCTGGCTACTTGGAAGAAGCGTCNTAAAACTTGACTCAGTAGACTGTGTTGGCAACATAGAAGAATACACGCTTCTCAGCTTACGGCCCACGAGTAAATCTACAGGCGATTGGTGGTTCGCCAGAGCATCATTTGGGGTCAATCGGCACACAAACGGGAATCTCTGAAGGGCTTCGACGGATGTCTGCTCCTCTCCAGCTTCAACTAAGGCTCTCTTGAGTGTGTCGACGAGCCTTTCTGCTTGACCATTCGAGTGAGGGTGGTGCGATGGTGAACAAACATGTGCTATGGCGAAACTAACTCGTGGAAGCAGCGGTGAAATACGAATCATTGTCTGAGACGATGGACTCCGGTAAGCCGTGCTGGCCGAAAATGTAGGATAACACACGCAGGGTACTAGATTTCGCTGGGGAGGACACTAGAATAGTTTCTGGCTACTTGGAAGAAGCGTCAACCAAAACCAAATAGGAAGTTGTGGTGAACATTGACTATTCTATTCATTCTGTTTATTGTATTTCTGTATGCCTTCGTTTTACGATGCGATTGAGGGTACGCCCGCGATATTTGAGAATATATGATATTCATTCGTCCATATTCGGACTTCTATACTACGCGTACATTCGGTAGTTAAGATACCTACCACTATTCTAATTGTCACAGAAGTGTCATTTATCAGTCCTGCGTAGGCAATGTGGAGCCGAGACCAAGACTCTTTAGATCAAGGCCGGAGAACCGGAGGTTGATGTGGTGGGTTCTTGACAGCTTGTTGTCATCGGGCGCAGNTTTATCATTCCCTACGGCGCCGATCGATTGCACATTCGATGTTCTAAAGAAGTTAATTCTCAGTCATTTTAAGCCTATCAATTTTGTGGCCGTAGAACGAGCGAAATTCAATTCGCTTATTCGATCCGAATCTCAGAGTATTCGTGATTTTGTCCTCCAACTGCAAACACAGGCTGCAAAATGTAACTACGGTCAACAACTTGGAACCCAACTGAGTGGATCGCCTCATGCCGGAATTAATCTTCCAGATCTACAGCAAACGCTCTTAGTACAGACTGATCAACGCTTCATATCGATCAGAAAAAGTTTCCAGCAATACCAGGATGTTAAATAAGTAACTAAATGCAACGAGGCCGTTTTATTTAATGTACTAAAGTTGAAAGGGCTGGAAGGTCGCCCAGACGGTAAATTTGAAACCAATATGCATCATCATAACAAAAACAACCAACTGAATTCGAACATTCAAAATCGTCAAATACGCTAACCAAAAAAGTTCTTGGCAAATGTGCTTTGTGTGGACAGGACTACTCCAGATATACTTGCATACATCGCCCATCAAAATGTTTCTCATGTGGTAAGATTGGGCATATTCAGAATGTATATAAGTCCAAAAGAGTTTGTAGACTGACTGTCGACTCAAATACTGATATCAAACCTTTGACTGATAACATCTCATCCATGTCTTTATCTGCTATATCGAATTCTATGCATGTGTCGAAGACGCTCATATCAGGCTCTGGTAAAAAGCATAGTTTTATCATTGATACTGGCAGCGTCGAATCCATTATTCCTGAGTCAGATCTTA